TAGCGATGGTGCCCGCCCGCTCGGCCGCCTCGACGGCCCGATCCACCTTCTCGCGGATCTTGCTGGCCCGCAGTGGGATGAGGTTCTTCCTTTTGCCGCTGACCAGGACGTTCTGCTTGTACTTGCCCTCCTCCTTGGTGCCATCGGGGAAGGTCATGCAGCCGTAGCCGTGGCGCTTGTTGTTGGCCCACTCTCCCTCGTACTTGAGCCCATCCGAGCGTTGGCTCACCCCGAAGCCCGACCGCTTGTCGTTCTTCCACTCGCCGACGTAGATCTCGGTGGTGGTGGCGTCGATGTCGTCTTCGATGACGGAGAGCTCGGCTTCTCCTTCGCCCAGGCTGATGGTGGAGTTGATGTCGGTAGCGTTGATGTCGCGGGCAGTGGAGCTGACCGTGCTCATCCCGGCTTCGCTCCGGAAAGAGCTCTGCTTGCGCCGCTGGCTGGCCAAGGAACTCTTGGACTCGGACTTCCGGAGCTTGAGCCCGCTCAGCAGCGACCGCCGGAAGATGCCCTTCTTCTTGCTCTTGAGGATCTCGGCATCGCTGTGGGCCATGAGGACGAAGCCACCGCGGGAGACGGCGGGGCTGGCGGCCACCGCCGGCGGGGGGGCGGTTTCGTGCCGTTGGTGTGCTCACTGCGCAGGGAGTTGATGGACGTCCTCAGGGGTGACCTGATAACCGCAGCCATGCCGTAGGGAACGCTCTGCCGGACGCCGTAACCCTGGCGCATCCCTCCGACCCACTGGCCCTGGTACGTCCCTGGGAAGAGGAGACAAAAGCAAAGAGGGGTTTCATGGCACGGCATCCTGCGGATCGCTAACAGCGTCAAACCCCTCTGTGAGCCCTTTGTTAGTGGGAACAGCAAAGTGCAGCTCTGGATCCCAGTCCCATCTCCATGACACGGGCTGTAACGTCACGTTGCGAGAGGGAAAAACAACATCTTGGCCAAGGCACCAGTGTGCCGGGAGCGATGCTTGGAAGAACTGCACCATAGAGCAAGCCCTAATCTGAAAGGGATTCATAGAATCATAGAATGGTTTGGGTTGGAAGGGACCTTAAAGATCATCTAGTTCCAACCTCCCTGCCATGGGCAGGGACACCCTCCACTACACCAGGTTGCCCAAAGCCTCATCCAACCTGGCCTTGAACACTTCCAGGGATGGGGCAGCCACAACTTCTCTGGGCAACCTGTTCCAGTGCCTCACCAAAGGGAAGGGAGCGGGGAGACGGGCATGGGGAATCATTATCCGGGAGCAGACTCTGATCCCGTCCATGCTGCCGGCAGCGATCAAAGCGGATGGAATATTGCAACGCATTTATTTATATACATAGTGCCTTCATCCGGCACGTAGCGGAAGGGAGAGGCTCTACAGAAGTAAAGGCCCCACGGGGAGAGATCCATTTGGTTACTCTCCTTGGAAACATGCCCCTGCTTGAACTCCCACATTCGCGTGGGCATTTACTGGTCGTTATTGGGATGAAACGCACGTGGGACCTCACCACGGCACTGGGAACAGAGGCACAAGAAACCCATCCGGCCCGGGAAGCGTGACCGGAGCATAACGCTTGCCCCGTGCATCGAAACGCACGGTGGTCATCTGCCTCGGGGTTTATCAGCCCTTCCCCTCCTGGAGCTCGGCGATCCGCACGCTTTCCCGTTTTATCCCAGCCATTTGAACTGTAGGGCTTGTTTTTATTCCTAGGTCGGCTTAAGCTTTTCTGGACTGGCTTGAGATGCAGTGACTCACCACCCGCCTAAACCCTC